TGCGGTCGAGTGTCTTTTCATGACTTCTTGGTCATTTGCATATGTCTTTTGGGGGGAAATATCTACCCAAGTCCTTTCCCCATTTTTTAATCTGGTTGTTTTTTCGTTATTGAGTGGTAGAAGTTCTTTATATATTCTGGATATTAGCTCCTTATCAGAGATGAGATTTGCAAATATTTTCTTCCATTCTGTGGGTCACCACTTCACTCTGTGATTGTATCCTTTGATGCAGAGAATTTTAAAATTTTGTTGCGGTCCTGTTTATTTTTACTTTTGTTGCCTGTTCCTATGGAGTCTTATCCAAGAAACCACTGCCAAGTCCAGTGTCATGAAGCACTTCCCCTATGTTTTGTTCAGAAAATTTTATAGTTTTAGCTCTTACATTTAGGTCTCTGATCCATTTACAATTTTTTGTATATGGTATGAGGTGTGTCCAAGTTCATTCTTTTGAATGCAAATACCCAGTTTTTCCAACAATATTTATTGAAAAGACTGTCTTTTCCCCATTGAGTGGTCTTGGCATTCAATTCTTAAAAATCATTTGACCCTAAAAAATTATTTCTAGGCTCCTCATTCTATTCCATTGATCTATATGCCTGTCTTTATCACAGTACCACACTATTTTGATTTACTGGAACCTCGTAATAGGTTTTTAAATCAGTAAGTTTAAGACTTTCAACTTTGTTCTTTTTTAAGATTGGTCTGATTATTTGGGGTCTTTTGAGAGTCCATATGAATTTTAGGATGTACTTTCCTATTTATGCAAAAAACACTACTGGGATTTTGACAGAGATTGCATTGAATCTGGTAGATCATTTTGAGTAATACTGACGTCTTAACAGTATTAAGTCTTCTGATCCACAAATGAGGGTTGTTGTCTCAGCTTGAGCTGCGATCACACACTTCCACAGACTGGATGGCTTGAACAACAGACATTTATTTCTCCCAGTTCTGGACGCTGGGAAGTCCAGGATCAAGGTGACATCAGATTCAGTTCTTGGTGAAGACCCTCTTCCTGGCTTATACACAGTCACTTTCGTGATGCGT